AATTTTGTGAGTCATTAAGATGATCAACAAAAAAATTAAAATGATACAAACATTAAAAATTGGAATTAAAACCACGGAATGTGGAATGGCATTTTGATTCTATCTTTGATTTATTAGAAGTCACTTTTTTTACAGATGGGCATCTGATACTTCTAGTGTGAAATTCGTGACGAATATTTTCACCATAAAAGTTTGGTATTACTGATTTTATAATTATTCCGACTCTTATTCTCGTCTTTATACTATTAGTAATACTAACTCCTCGTCTCAATCATTACGCAAAGCTATAAAAGTCTGATGTTTGTATTTACGTTAACTACTTGCTTATTTTGATTTACTAACTTAATGTATTTCTGTTAAAGAGGGAATCATATATTCTTTCACATGCTGCTTCAAGAAGTGTGTGACAGTTAACAGCGAAGAGTGTAGTGTCATCACTGAAAAGCTTTAGGGCTATATATGTGATATATATATTTATTTAGTTAGTTAAGTTGAAAGATACTATTAATCGATGTTTCTTTATTGCTCTGATGACGTGTTTCCTGATAATGACTTGACATGGGTCACTCTACTGTCCCGACGATATATTCATTTAACTAAATAATAAGAAGTTGTCATGTGTTCGTCTCTTTTCTGAATTATTACAAATGATTTTTTCAGTCTTTACAAACTGTATGATTATTTTGATGAATAGATTGCCCTATTTTATTTGTTTTATACTGGGAAGAGGCAAACATTATGAATCAAAAGTTTTGTTACAAAATATATATTGCTTTTTTTATAATCATAATGAATGGTTTGTCTAATGCCATGAATAAGAATAGTGTAGAAAATTCAGGCATGTTATACTGATGTTACATTTTTCAAAGAAAATTAATTCTACGACAGTACTTCAATTCAATAGCTGGTGTTTCTACGTTTCCTAAGTAAGGTATACTTTATTATTTCTTAATTGTTACTTTCATTAACGTTATTGGTTAGACTGTTCAACATATCGAATTTTATAAGTTTTTAACTTTATTTTTATTACTACGCTTTTATTAAAAATTGTTTTGCATTGTTAGTTTAATATATGTATATATTTGTAATAGACCTAAATATCCTAAGGTGGTCGAATCTCGTGAGATATTACGAAAATTTCATTAACAGCGAGAGCACCCAACTAATCAAACTAATCAATAAGTAAGAACGTAAAAAAAGGTATATTTAGTTAGATATTCTTGTTACCTGGTTCATTTTTAGTTTTCCTGTAAGTATATAGCTTGCTCTGATTGGAAGTTAATACTTAGAAGCACTCAAAATAAGTACGAAAGATAGCTAAGAAGATAAGAAAAGTAGAGTGAGGGCAATGTGGGATCAAGATATTGGAAAATATAGAGGTTTTAACACTGAGATGTGCAATCAGAGTAATTTCGTAGAACCTATTTTGGTCTTCAGTTTCCACTTGTAGTTTTTGTGCTATTTTGTAACAAAAACCCCAAATACTGTTTTCTGTATATCAAACTATATTTCCTGTTGAGTCTTAATGTAAACAGGCATATATGTGAGAAACTCAAAATATTAACAGTATTAATTATACTGTCATTCTTCGGCTCCATATCGGATCTATTGGTTTCTTCCATCCAAGGGAAGCTGGAATCAGGCCTGCTTACTGCTGTATCATGAATATTATAAATGGGTAAATTTCAGTATGCTTATATCTTATAAGCTGACTTATTTATTAAATAATTATACTTGTAACTACAAACAAATGATATTCGACCAAACCCATATTTCCTTTCTACTCAACACGAATATATATATATAACGAAATAACTTACTTCACTACAAATGAGCCCATCTCCCTCGTAGGACTTATAACGCTAAAAATCGGCTTTTCATACCCGCAGCCAGCAGAGCACAAATAGGCAGCTTTGCGCTTAACAATAAACGAACGTTACAAAGTAATTAAATGTGTTAAACCTGCTTCAAAACACATAGTTTACGTTCTCGAAAATATATGTTTTGTTGATATCTTATCTACGAAGGCTATTTTAAATTATTGATGTATCAATTCTACACCCGTCAGTTTATTTATAACACTAGATTCTAATGACATATCTATTACTTGTGGTATTTTAACTGGTTTTCTCATTTGCAACTTTAGAAAATATCTCTAAAACATTTATCAAATATATTTGTATGATGGGGAAGACAAAACTGCTAAAAATGACTATTGCTTCAAGGATATCAGCGATGAAATAGAATCAAAGACATTAAAAAAGCAACTTTTATTAATTATTTGCCTCACAATAACAAACCTTTTAAAACTCAACTTCCTTCAAGAACAAAATTAGGAGTGATATAAGTTCAAATTTAGGTAACGTGGTTTTATTTCCAATTTTGAATGTTTGTATCATTTTAATTTTTTTGTTGATCATCTTAATGACTCACAAAATTCCATCCACGCAGACAGAGCAATACACAGAGTGGCTTATCGATACAATCGTCATGATGAAACTAAAACCTAAAAAAGCTAAACTGAACAAGGTCAGTAGAGAGAGCAATACAGAAAGTGGCTTGTCGATACAATCGTTATGATGAAACTAAAACCTAAAAAGCTAAACTGAACAAGGTCAGTAGAGAGAGCAATACAGAAAGTGGCTTGTCGATACAATCGTTATGATGAAACTAAAACCTAAAAAAGCTAAACGGTTCTTACGATGTTTTGAGCGATAAGGAGTAAAGTGTTTATGATATAGTGTAGTTTGTGTATCTAAACCAAATTAGTTTATATATATATAGGTTACAGACTGCAACACTTCTCATACAGCTTATCGTAAAAATCATGCGTTGTCTGTTAATGTAGTCATTTTTCTAAGATAACTGACCTTGTTCGCTTATGAAAATAATGAAAAAAGAAATCCTCATTAGAGCGATAACTTGAGATCAAAGAAAATGAAAAGGCCTTGTATATTTACTCGCGCAAATATGGGTGATTACCAGCTTATTCTCTTGTATATAATGGTATAATGAACATTACAGAATATATTTGTGAAATAAAACTGCATTTAGGTAGTGGAAATACAGACTCAAGCTAAGAATGTTTTAATGATTTTCTACTGTGATATAAACATACCTCATGTAACTTAAAGTTCTTAATAAGAAACAGTGACGCACAGCATACCAACATGTTCTTCATAATGTAGAGGTATTTATATAACATTAGTTTTATGTAATACCCGATTCGAAACTTTTTTATGCTGAAAGAATACCATTTCATTAAGTTTAATTTGTTCATAGTTTCGTAAAAGTATATTTATATCTAAGGCTGTTTAGTCTTGTACTTATTTGTTATATTAACGTTTTTTCTCAAAATCATTTGCTAGAAAATTTGATGTGGCTTTAATGAATAATAATGGATGGTTTTAATTTTTCACATAAAGAAATCGATAAAAATGGGTAACCTACCTCCCCATTTTCGTAATAATCATCTCTGTTCCCAAGTCGTTAAATTTTTCCCACAGATCTTTGTTTTCCAGCTGACACTCCACATCTTTGAGTTCTTCACTATTACAACGAGGCTTAAGGGCGCTGGCGTACGGATTTAGAGACGACTTATTTTGTTCAGTATTCGATTTGTTGTCTTGGGGTGTTGTCTGGTTTACACCCAGTTCATCTTCGCCCGAATCGTCAGATAATGAGGTCACAGAATACAGCTCCGTCTTCTCTTCCATTCCTTCTTCTTCTAAGTAAGGAGCCCTTTCTTCATAAGATAAAGTTTGTACAGGAGAACTTGATGGAATTGAATGTTGGCGGTCCGGGATCATCTCCACGTCTGTCTCGGGACTTCTACTACACGCCCGAGAACTTTCGGTGAGTACTGCGAAATATAAGACAGAGACGATTGGTATTAGAAAAACAGAAATTTGTAGCCATAAATAAAAATAAAGTGTTTGTCATTGTATTCGTTTTTTTCTGCGAAATTTCACGATTGTTCTAAAGCACTGAAATCAAGTTTAGCAAGGCGTATAAAAGAATCATAATGATTCAAATTACACAATAATCAATAAATTTCACACTTTGTTCGAAATTTTGAGGGACATTCTTAAATAGGAAATGTATATGTATATAAAAACAGTTTAATGCAACTTAGAATAGTTCTGAATATAAGATAAAGCAATGACGACGCAACTTCTGTTGTATTGAGTGTTTTATTATGTTATTGTTAACTTCTGTTGTATTGAGGGTTTTATTATGTTATTGTTAACTTCTGTTGTATTGAGGGTTTTATTATGTTATTGTTCACTTCTGTTGTATTGAGGGTTTTATTATGTTATTGTTAACTTCTGTTGTATTGAGTGTTTTATATTGTTACTGTTAACTTCTGTTGTATTGAGTGTTTTATTATGTTATTGTTAACTTCTATTGTATTGAGTGTTTTATTATGTTATTTTTAACTTCTGTTGTATTGAGTGTTTTATTATGTTATTGTTAACTTCTGTTGTATTGAGGGTTTTATTATGTTACTGTTTCCATGTATTTAGTGTATACAGTTCTGCCAAGCATTATTTGTTTTTGTTAAATTAAACGTTGCACGTATTCTGAATTCAGTAATGTTGTCCCTATACTCCATCGTTTATCTACGTTATTTTATGAGCAATGTGTGTATATATATATCTCTGCTCTGATCTTTCACAGAATTTTAATTAATCTTTTCTTCATTAATTGCATAACACTGTTACGTGAGAATTGGTGAAAAATAAATTAATCACTGTAAAATGTTTTAAGATGATACTATATACGGTCTACATTAATTATATATCCAATATGACACAAAAGAAACACCACTTCACACGCTGATTTGTTTTTCTTTATCTACTTTTATAAATGAATTTCCTACCATTTATGGCTGAAATATGTTGGGATAAGATAGTGCAACTATGCCTTGTATCAAATCACACTTGTTGGTTTTGTTTTAATTTCGCGCAAAGCTATACGAGGGTTATCTGCGGTAGCCGTCACTAATTTAGTAGTGAAAGACTAGAAGGAAAGCAGTTAGTCATCCACAGTAACCAACAACTCTTGGGCTACTCTTTTACCAACGAATAGGGGGATTGACCGTCACATTATAATGCCCCCAAGGCCAAAAAGGCGAGCATGTTTGGTTAGACGGGGATTCGAACCCGCGACCCTCAGCTTGCAAGTTCGTATGTTGGATTGTGAGCTCGAGGATAAAAAGGAGTGTGTTCATCAAAGCTGCTCAAACTCAAAGATCATAAGTTCTTATTCCAAACGTCAGTATTCCAATAAATATAGAAAAACATTCAAAGATCTAAGAAACCCAAGGCTTGAAACATATATTGAGCTTTCCATATTTATACAAATACAGTATATTTATGAAGATACAAAATGCAGAATGGTGTATTCTACCCATGCAAATAAACTATTTTGCCCAATAATTACCAAATATTTAGTTACTTTATTTTTAACCGAAATAATTAGTATGATCAGGAAATTATATGGCATTTGGTGTGAAAGACAACAATAGTAGATGTTTATTATTAAGCACAAAGTTACACAAAGGGCTATCTGTGCTCTGTCCACCATAGGTATCGAAACCCGGTTTCTAGTGCGCAGGCATACCGCCGTACCTCTGGGGGGGGGCAGCAATAGTGAAATGTTTTCAACGAACCAGCGTGTAAGAAAAGACTTCTTTTTTATTTTTGAATTTGACGAAGAGATATGGTTTTATTAGAACCTCTCTGTCTTATTTTTTAATTTGACGAAGAGAGATGGTTTTATTAGAGCCTCTCTGTCATATTTGTTTTTAATTTGACGAAGAGAGAGATGGTTTTATTAGAACTTCTCTGTCTTATTTTTGATTTGACGAAGAGAGATGGTTTTATTAGAACCTCTCTGTCATATTTGTTTTTAATTTGATGAAGAGAGAGATGGTTTTATTAGAATCTCTCTGTCATATTTATTAATTTGACGAAGAGAGATGGTTTTATTAGAAGCTCTCTCTTTCCCCTACTTCAAACTTCTTTTCTTCCCGGCTCATCAATCAAGACAAAAATACATTCGCTGACAGATGTCTTGTATTTCTCAGAAAACACGTTGTTTAGTTAAGACTCTCACTACGGACTGTTATCCTAGAGGGTTTTAGATGCTGACGATGAAGGGTTTTATCTACTTGAAGGGAATTCGAAAGAGAAAGAACTAAACCAAGTCCAAGTTAAATATTTTGCAACTAATTATGTCGTTATAACATTTCTTTACTAACCGCTATGCGATTTTATTCCATTAATGAAAACTTTCAATAAATTACCTCAAAAACGTTTCATCGAAACTGGTTTTTAGTAACTATTGTCCTTCTGTTAAGTATCACAAAATAATAAAATATTTTAAGATTAAACTTTTCGTAGCTGGTTTTGGGAACAACTGAGATTAGTTGCACAAAATGACGCGAATCAAGGGTTAGAATAATTTATAAGTATTTCATTCACACAGATGCCATGCTAAAATGAAGACAAGAGGCATTCGTTACGGATATCTAAGTATATTATAATCACACACAGGATTTAAAAATGAGGATTAAGTCTCTATAATCTTCCGTACCTAAATATTATCTAATGATCATAATTTTATTTTATTTATGTTATAATCTATAATCTAGTGGAAATGAACGCAGGGTGGCGCTTGGCAACGTTTATACCTAGACCGGTTGTGGAGATCTTACTGATATGTCGTATTTATTTAATTTGATGATGTTTAGTATAAATGGATCGTGAAGAAAAACACCCAAATGTTAAAAGAACTTCAACGCCAAATTCTTCTCTTTGTTTGAAGACTGGTAGGCTTATGAACATGTTCTTGCTTTGAGACGATGTCGCTTTTGTGCAGTAATAAGAATATTATTCTATATATATGAGATCTTTAAACAGTGATTTCTACATTTCATATCTACATATCTACAGTTTTGGCTGCAATATACTCTCCAAAACAGTAAATAAAAGTGAATGATCTTTAGTATATTAGAAACATTAACATAAATCACTGGTCTTTCACAAAGGCATTGCAGATAACTTCAAAAATCAAGATTATTGGATTTTGTTCACATGAATACACGTGTAAGCTGCACAAAACAAAAAAACGAAATGAAAATTTTACCTATGGCAAGCTATTTTTATGCAAATCAGGTATTTAGTGATCCGTCACGTGATCTTAAATGCTCTAACGTTTAGTCATTTAGCTTATGCTCATAAATGAACATTTGAAAGGGTGACTTTGCAGCACATGATATTTCGATTCAACATGGAGCAAGTAATACCTAACATCATTGTTAAAGAATTAAAATCAGAATTTTAATAAGTAGCCTTGACTGTTACTCTGAAAGATATGTTTATATGACACCTTTTGTGTCTGGAGTCCTTGATAGAATGTGACGCATCTCCGAAAAGCATTCCATAAATGGTCGATGAGACTGAAGTCCAATAAAGGTGGAGTCCACTCAATTCGGTCAATCCCTCTCCTTTTCAAAAAGCATGCCGATTAGTCTGGTGTAATGTGGGCATGTATTAGCGTTCACTAGGTTGCAGTAAGAATCAGTTACACCTACATGGACCACATTTCAAACAAACTTGAGATGTGGTCCATGTAATAACACTATTCTGTAGGATGATGTAGAGATCGATACAAGCAATGCTTATTCCTGTTCACACTCTAGTTCCACCAGTCCTCAATGCGTCACGTTCCCCTAGAATGGGGGTGGGTTTAGTTCCAGATTCTCTCCAAATAAGTATAGGTGTGTTCCCTGGATGGAGGTTTAGTATGGTCTATGAAGGATTAGACCTGAACAAAATTGTTACCAAGCAGTTTAATCTCTGTAACATATCCAAAATTCGTTTTAGGAAAATAAAAAAGCTAATTATTTAATTAACCCTATCCATATGAGGCCTTCAGACTTGGATATGTATGCGTGTGTGGAGTTCTAGAAACGAAGATAGAAAAGTGTGAATATAATATCAAATCTGGATGAAACTTGGCATGCTTATAGACCATCATAACTGAATTTTATAAACTTGGTTTTGTTCAATTACTAAGTGCCCAGACCCCTTTCTGGCATCATCAGTATAGTGACTTGAACAAAGATTGATTATATGTTTTTAAAGTTTCTTCTGTGCATTGTTTATTTCCCATACTTTGCCACTGGTTAGCCTATATCTATTATTTTTATCAATATTTTTTTATATTTACAAATTGAATATATTAACATATTCTTAGCCGTCTTTATTGTATCGCAATAAATAACATGCGGAAGTATCATGTTTTAGAATAAAACTCGCATGTTAAAGTTAAGTTTCTTATATTATATATATTATTCAAAAGAATGTTTATAACTTTTAAGTCTGATTTCTACTGTCTGGTTCAATACAATAATAATTTTCTATTTATTGATATGAATTTTCGATTAGAGCAAACTATCTTAGAGCAAAACTAAAAATCAACCTGGTAATGAATACAAGTAATTAAACATTACTTTCTTATTTGTAACGATTACAATGCATTGTTTCATCAGTTGGGTAACTTCGCTGTTGTCGATATTTTAAGCCATAAATCCATTTGTATAATGCTTTGAAATGAACCATAACCATTTTACTTGTTCAAAAGGGAAACTGCAGGGATGAAAGAAGCCTTTGAATGTGCACAAGGCCAGTCTTATTTTGAGTAATTTCAACCAAATCACCAGACTATCAAAATCCAACACCATCCCTCTTCCCCTTCCATTTGTCAAAATTCTTCTACTTGGTTCATGAAGAGATACCAA